GCCTGAACTCTGGGCCTGGGCGCTGTCCCTCAGCTCTTTAGCTCAAGGCTAGTGCTCTACCACTTGAGCCACAGCGCCACTTCTGGCTTTTTTCTTTTTGCTTATGTGGTGCTGAGGAATTCAACCCAGGGTCTCAGGCATGCAAGGCAAATGCTCTACCACTGAGCCACCTTCCCAGCCCCTTAGTTGAAATATATTTAATAATGCTATATGTATTTAAAAGGAGATAAATAGGTGGTATCTTCTTTTAAAAATCTGAGGAATGCAGTGCTGAAGTCGTCATCACATACAATTTCTCTTCAACTGGCATTATTTTTTTGGCTAACTTTTGAAATGAAAGAGTGTAAGAAATTTTTAAAAATGTAATTAGTGCAGATTTATCAGCAAAAAAATTCATCTGGCTGTGGATACATAATTTGTTGGTTTCTCTATTTTTCTTTGTGGTGGCTATCAAACAGAATTTTATGAAAACATAGGCAAACGATCAGTAGCCATACCCTTGATGATTTGGGTTCTATTTAATTTTTTGTGCTGATCCTGGGACTTGCACTCATTGCCTGTGCACTGTCCCTAAGCTTTTACTGCTCGAGGCTACTACTCTAAAACTTGAGCCATAGTTCTACATCCATTCTTTGGTTGTTAATTGGAGATAAGACTCACAGACATTCTGTCATTGGGCCCAACTTCAAAACAAGGTTCCTGTATCTCAGCCTCCATAATAGCAAGGATTATAACCATGAGCCACTGTTAGCCACATTGTGTCTTTTTTTTAGAAGCATCTGTAAATAATAATAATAATAGAAAACTATCACTATAACTAAAGGCTCAAACCCCACAACTGACAAAATAAATAAATAAATTAATTAAATTCTGAGTGTGAATAGCTAGGTTCTAATAATAAAGGACATGAACTTTAAAAAAGGTGGAAGGCAAAATCAAATAAATGAAAAGGTACAAAAAGGAGCATATTAAAGATTTCTAAATCATGGCTCAAAACTGCAATCTTACTTGCTCAGATTGCTGAAATCTAAGGATCGTGGTTCAAAGCCATCCTGGGCAGAAAGTACAGGAGACTTATTTTACTGTGTTCAGTACTGGGGCTTGCACTTGCTATGATTTCCTTATGGCTAGAGGTCTACTTCTTCCTACCTCTTGGCAATTAATTAGAGATAATTGTCTCATTGATTTTCTTGCCCGGATTGGCTTCGAACCATGATTCTAAGATTTCAGTCCAACCTGTAATGCTCTTGGCTTGCTGTTGATATTCTAATCTCCTATTGACCACCGAAAAAGCAGAAGCTGAGCTGTGGCTCAACTAGTGAAACCTGCCACCATTAAGGTAAAAATAAATAAATCCTCAAGGAGAGTCATCAGGCCTTAATTTCAAGAACTAACAACCAGCACTCAATTTGAAAAAAATAAAAAAAGAACCTCAGTCACCATTACCTGAGTTTGAGCCCTAGAAGAAGAGCTACAAAAAAGAGAAACAGCCTGTAGTTTACCTGTGTTCAAATTTGTAAAGCATGGTAGTTTCAGGAGGAAAGGAAAAACTAAGCATGAAAGCTAGCCCCTAAGAACAATTGTCAAAAAAAGAAATAATAAATACCTGAAAAGATGAAAGAAAAGGTAATTAAAGATTTGTAAATGTTGACTCACACTTATAATCCTAAGTGCTAAAGTCACTGAAGTCTGAAGATCATGGTTCAAAGCCATCATGGGCAGGAAAGGCCATGAAACTTGCTTCAGTTTGTTCAGTCGAGGGACTTAAACTTGAAGTGTTTTGCTCATGGCTAAAGCTCTACTATCTTCTGCCTATTAGTGGTTGATTGGAGGTAAGTCTCATAGACTTTCCTGCCCAGGTTGACTTTGAATAGTGATCCTCAGATTTCAAGCCTCACTGTACTGCCTTTGACTACCCATGGGACTCTTGTGTCATATTAAACACTTAAAAAAAGGCAGAAGTTGAGCTGTGGTTCAAGTAGTAGAGCCTTCTACCTTTCAGTTAAATAAGTAAATCAATAAAACATCAGAAATAGAAGGGCAGAATGAGAATGAAAGATGGGAAATCCTACCTAAGCAAAAGTAGAGAAATGTAAATATCACCTGTTGTGGAAGAAATAAATTGTATTGTCAAAGCTTATAGAATTCACAAACTTTATAGTCCATGATAATGATAATTTGCCTTGTTAAAATATGTTTGTGACTTCAACTAAATATCACTATTCCGCAATTCTGTGAAATAAGAGAAATTTAGGTAATCATCTAATCTCAATAATAATAAAAACCTCAGAAAGAGTCACCAGGCCTTAATTTCAAGCCCTAAGTCACTAACCTGCCCCAACTCTGACCAAAAAAAAAAAAGACACTATGACCAGGACCTGAGTTCTCACACTAGGAGCAGAAGCCAAATGAAACAAAAAGTAGACTGTAGTAGTCCTATGGCCCAAGTAATAAAGCAAGCTACTTTTAAGAGGAAAGAAAAAGAAAACCTGAGTATGAAGGCTAGACCCTAACCCCCTGACTCTTCCCATAATGGAAAGTGGATCAATCATGGAATCCAACAGTTTGTGCTTGTTCTTGGGATCACAGCTGAAAATTCCCCTTCAGGTCTAGGCCCTCCAATCAAAAATGGAAGGCAGGCAGGCTTGTTCTTGGCTTCTGGCACACAAGGACCTTGTGCAGAGGAAGTTCCTCCTCTTGTTTCCTGGATCCCAGGGTTCAGCCTCTCTTGTGAGTCAGAGTGGGGAGTGGATGGCAGGGTGACCAGAGGATCCAAATAGAGTGGCAACTGTGCTAATGGACTTGCAGCTGGCAGCTGGATGCCAGGGTAGGTGGGAACTGGTAGGGTCCTCTGATTACCCAGCAATAGGGAGACTGAGTTGGAGCACCTGCTGGCTCCACCTATAATCAAGTCCGCCCCACCTCCTCTGCCCCTGTAACAACCAGAGGTATAAATGGAGATCTGAGTTCACTGTGTCAGATTCCTGCTTCCCAGCTCTACCTGTTTGCCTCTGTGGGCACCACTGCTGAAGACACGCATCCAACTGCTCCGCAGCCCTGCACCATGAGGGAGATTGTGTACATACAGGCAGGCCAGTGTGGCAACCAGATTGGCACAAAGGTGAGCATGGCACTGGCCATGGATCCAAGTCTCAAATTTAGGGGAAGGAGAAGGAGGACGGGGTTGGAGTGTGGAGGTGGTGGTGGTCATGGCTAGGCTGAGGTAGGTGGGGCTCTTTGGTGGCCCCTAACCTTCTGCAAATGAAGTCCCCCAGATAGCTTCTCCAATTTCCCTAATTTGTGTGGCCCTGGTGGGTGTGGGTTTTAAGCAAGGCTGTGGTGGTTTCAAATCCCTTGCATGTCTTAGTCTTACCTGAGCCTCAAGTCTTTGTATTTAGTTTCCTGGGAATAGACTAATGCACTTTTGGTCTAGTTTGAATGCAAGGACTGCAGTGTCTTTGAGCTGAAAGATACAGACAATTCCCTTTGTGTCAACTGATGAGTGTCAGATAATTGAGAACAGTTCTTCTACCTTAAGGAAAATTTCTCCGAGTTTTCATGCCTCATCTCATCTCCCTTAAGTTGGGTGTTTTCTAAATCGGTGGTTGTCGTGTATGCTCTGAGGACACTTGGAGTTCTGGAGACCCTTCTAGCTGAGTCTTCAAGTTACTGCTTTGGCAATTTCATGTCCAAGTAAGGCCAGCTACTCGTCATAGAATACAAACAGAATATGGTACTTCATAAGATGGAATACTCTAGGAGAACCCAGATGTCTTCTATTCAGCCAGATAGCAAAGAGATTAACAAAACTAAAATACCACCAATTTCTGTGCTTTTTTTAATTTAGAAAATGTAATTTTTTTTACAAATATATTTGTGTCAACAGGACATAGGTTTCTTATAGTTACTTTAAAATGCATTGTTTGGACAGTTATCATTCTACTTCATAATACACTTCTATTTCCATCTCAGTTTTGGGAAATGCTAAGCGATGAGCACAATATTGACTGCACTGGCAACTACTATGGAGACAGCCATTTACAGCTACAGAGAATCGAGGTGTATTACGATGAGGCAGCTGGTGAGTGTCTCCCATCTGGCTTCCCATACCGTGGCAAAATAGTTCCCCGGGGAATACTACTGACAAGGAAGGAGTTCCTGCCTTTCTTATGGTAGTATTGTAGTTTTAATTTGGGACCTTGATCTTGTAAGTCAAGTGCTGTATCCAACTGAACCACTCCACCAGAAACTTTGTTTTAATTTTTGAGTATACTCTTGTATACACAGGAAAGCCTTATACCTGAGTTCCCCCTATCTCTACTTGCTGACTAACCACACCTGGATTTTTTTCTGGTCATGGAGCTTGAACTCTGGGCCTACACACTGTCGCTCAACTCTTCAGCTCAAGGCAAGCAGCTCTACCACTTAAGCTACAGTGCCACTTCCAGTTTGCTGGTGTTTTATGGAGATGAGTCTGGCCAGCTTTTTGTGCCCTGGCTGGCTTTGAACCGTGATTCTCTGATCTCAGCCTTCTGGGTAGCTAGGATTAAAGGCATAAGTGTGTTTCACATAATTAAAAATGAGACTGCCTAAATATGCATTCTAAAACAATTGATAAAATATAATATAATCCAGTGCCATTTGGTTGTGTGCTGATCATCCTTCTAAGCTCAAGGCCTGGGCACTGACTATGAGCTTCTTTTGTTTTGGGTAGTTTCTTGGAGATGAGTCTCCCAGACTTTCCGGCCCCAGCTGACTTCAATCTGCGATGCTAAGGTCTCATCTTAGATTTTTGAGTAGCTAGAATTACACCCTTAAGCAACCAGAGCCCAGTTACATTGCCTCTTTAAAATACAGATTAAATTTCTAAAACAATATTTTTAAAAAGAAAATTTAAAAAATTTTAAAGAGGGATGTTCAGTCACTAATATATATGAGAATAGTCCAAATCACAAAGCATAAATGAAGTGTCTCACCCTGAAATCTATAACATTTCTGGTCTTGAGCATTTTGAATATGAATACTTAGCCAACAATAAATTATTTTTAAGGTTTTTAAAGTAAGAACACATTCTTGTGATGTAGAAAAAACCAATACTAATTTGTAAACATTGCTTTTAAATGAATCATATTGTCTTTCCTAACATAAATAGCTTAATTGAAGTCTACAGAGTAGCTTTTCAGTTTTTGTAACTGCCAATGTAAAGTTCATTTAATTTTATATTGAGTTTCCATTCTACATTATTGTATACAAACAGAATCATGGATAATTGGCTTTCCTGTGTATTAAACCAATGAACAAGTACAAAAAAAGTACAAAGCCATTTAATTTATTTGAGTTTTATAGATTTGCATTTTGGGATGTCCTCACCTTGGTTGAGAGTGGTTGGGTTGGATTGTGTCACTTCTATGAACAGTATTTTAGGTTGTGTCTTGATTAGATCCTGTATATCCAGCAGGATGGCCAGTTTTCTTCATGTGAATGTTTAGGAAGGGGGTATTCTAAAAATGGTGTTTACATCATGTTAACTGCTTTCCCTTGGGCCAAATCAGGATAAATGGGAAATTGCAAGTCATTGCTCAAGGTTGCTCTGAGTATTTGAATACAAGGATGTGTGCTATTTGATAACCATTATTGAAACATTATAAGACAAGAAATATATATTGTATAGACGTTTTCTCCAGGAAAGCCTTACACTTGAATTCCCCTACATCTACTTGGTGAATAGCCATACCTGGCTTTTTTTTTGGTGTTGGGGTGTCGGTCATGTGGCTTGGACTTTGGGCCTAGGCACTGTCCCTCAACTCTTCAGTTCAAGGCAAGCAGCTCTACCTCTCGAGCCACAGTGCCATTTCTGGTTTTCTGTTAGTTTATTAGAGATAAGGGTCTTAAGGACTTTTCCTGCCCCAGCTGGCTTTGAAGAGTGATCCTCTGATCTCGGCCTCCAGAGTAGCTAGGATTATAAGCATGAACCTGGTTCATTTCTTGAGAAAGGTAATTGGGGAAGGGAAGGGATAATGGGAGAACAACAAAGTAGGGGGTAACAATTTTTGACAAGAAATGTTCTCATTTCTTTACTCATGTAACTATCTCCTCTATACAGCACCTTTACAATAAAATAAAATTAACAAAAAAGAGAAAGTTTCTTGCTGATAGGCACTGGTGACTCATTCCTGTAATGCTGGCTACTTAGTAGGCTAAGATATGAGAATCATGGTTCAAATTTTGCCTGAGCAGAAAAGTCCCTGAGACTCTTATCTCCAATAAGAAAACTGAAAGTGGGGTTGTGGCTCAAGTGATAGAGTGCTAGCCTTGAGCTGGAGAGCTGAGGGACAGTGCCCAGGCCCAGAGTTCAAGCCCCATGATGAACCACAAAAAATGGTGTTGCCACCTTTCTTTTGCAGCATTAGACTCAAAGCCTGATGCTCATCTTTGCCTCCTGTGTAGCTGAGATTTCAGCCACCATGCCCAAAGCAAAGGAATGAATATTCATGGAAATAGACAACTGCAAACATCCTTAAAGTTGCTGAAGCCTCTTGCATGGGGATTCATGCTCAAGGTATCTTTTCTGTTTCCATGTCTCAAATGCTGTAATTTTTGTAATGAATGCTGAGTGTCACTTAGAATCATAAGCTCTGCCCCCTAAGTTCCTTTTCAAGTATAGGCCTAAGTCAACTCTTGTTCCCACAGGCAACAAATATGTTCCTTGGGCCATCATGGTAGACCTAGAGCCTGGCACCTTAGATTCAGTGAGATCAGGACGATTTGGCCAGAGCTTTAGGCCAGACAACTTCACGTATGGTATGTCATCATGGTCCATGGGTCCTAACATCCAGGCATTCCAGTGCTGGGCTGAGCCTTTATCCACCTAGATATTGTCCTCACCAAACCTACCTATTCCAGTCCATGGGAGTCATGCCCCTGGACACTCAGACAGTTCAGATCAATGTCACTCTGCACGCCCTCCATGACAAAACAGCCTCTGAAGGAAAAGAGCAGCAAGCAGGGAAAGCCTCCAACAAGGTTTCAGCGCTGCTGGTCATTCCAAAGGCCTGGCAATAACAGAGAACCACTTCAGGACACCAGAAATCAAAGCACAGCTATGTGTGAGCAAGGTGCAGACAAGTACTTGCAGCTTAGCCTCACTCTGACCACACTGTGCTCCTGTGCCTCTTGTGAAATTAACTACATTTCCAGTATTGAGGCAGGCTCGGTTCTTCATTTCTAGAAGTACTTGATTTGGGTTAAAATGTATTTTCCTCCACATTGTCTTTACTTTTCTTTAGAACCTGGATGATTTGTAGGGTCCCAGATACATTGAAAACATTTCCTTATTTCACCAAAGTGTATCTAAAAAGTAATAGCAAAGGTTAGCACAGTCATTATTCTTGGAGGGTGTGTCTCATCGTGTCTTTGTGTCTCATAGGCCAGATTGGGTCAGGCAATAACTGGGCCAAGGGCCACTACACAGAGGGAGCCGAGATGGTGGAATCCGTGCTGGATGTGGTACGGCGGGAGTCAGAAAGGTGTGACTGTCTCCAGGGTTTCCAGCTGGCCCATTCCCTGGGAGGTGGCACCGGGTCAGGCATAGGCACCCTGATTCTCAACAAGATCCTAGAGGAGTACCCAGACCACATCATGAACACCTTCAGTGTCATGCCCTCCCCCAAGGTGTCAGACACCGTGATTGAACCCTACAATGTGATCTTGTCTCTCCACCAGTTGGTGGGAAATGCAAATGAGACTTTCTGCATTGACAACGAGGCTCTGTATGACATCTGCTCCCACACCCTGAAGCTGCCCACACCCACCTATGGAGACCTGAACCACCTGGTGTCAGCCATCATGAGCGGGGTCACCACATGCTTGTGCTTCCCCGGCCAGCTGAATGCAGACCTGCGCAAGCTGGCCACGAATTTCGTGCCCTTCCCCCGCCTACACTTCTTCATGCCTGGCTTTGCACCCCTGACCAGCCACGCTAGCCAGCAGTACCATGCTCTCTCAGTGCCTGAGCTTACCCACCAGATGTTTGACGCCAAGAACATGATGGTCTCCTGTGATCCCCACCATGGCCGCTATCTGACAGCGGCTGCCATCTTCCGAGACCGCATGTCCATGAAGGAGGTAGATGAGCAGATGCTCAACATGCAGAACAAGAACAGCAGCTACTTTGCAGACTGGATTCCCAACAATGTGAAGACAGCTGTGTGTGACATCCCCCCGCGTGGCCTCATGATGTCGGCCACCTTCATCGGCAACAACACTGCCATCCAAGAACCCTTCAAGCAGTTGTCCCAACAATTTAGAACCATGCTCCAGCGCAAGGCATTCTTGCACTGGTACATGGCCGAGGGGATGGATGAGATGGAGTTCACTGAGGCTGAGAGCAATATAGATGACCTGGTGT